CCAAAAAAAAAAAAAAAAAAAAAAAAAAAAAAAAAAACTTGCACTGTCGAGCATATGCGGAATGCAACATGTTGTCAACTGCTACATCGTCGTCGCTGGGCCCAACGTCGCTTCGATGGAGTTACTGAATGTACATGCATATGTAAGTGAAAAACCTGAATTTCCTTTTATCATATCTATATTCCAATGCGTATGTTAATGACGGTTATCTAGTATAAAGATAAATTCATTCATTGCTACTAAACACCAAATTAAAAGGAGGTAGCGTCGCGGTTTTATATTCGGTCGAACCAGCTCGTTGTAGTAACCGAGCCATGTTGGCTCAGTAAATTCAGATGCTGGCTAAGTAAATTGTAAGGAACAAAAACTTGAAAATATACAGAAAAAAAAAAAAAAAATATATATACATTTAATTAAGCGAATGTTATTGAGAAAAGTGCGAAAATTAGTTTTTGGATTCCATTTTTAATTTTCATTAACCGATAGAAATTTTTTTTTTTTTTCATTGAATGAGATCGATATAGGTGTATATGTAAGTAAAGATTGAGTTAATTACATATACTAAATATATCGAATACGTTGGCTTAAAATATTAAATATTTTGTAGGTATTTAGCTTTAGCTATTAAAGTTTCATTAGACGTTAAACTTTTTTTTTGTCACTAATACTACCCAAGATAAAGCTAAGCTACATAGTTAATGAATATTGTTATTTTTGTGTCTTGATAATAAAATGTGAGCTTAGTTAAATTAAGAAAATAATGGAACTATAAATTTATTTGGTCAATGACGAAATGTAGGGGCATGATTTGCTGAGATGAAAGTCATAATACTGCGTAGGGTTAACCGATGCCGAATTTCCCACATATGTAGGTTAACAGGTTGGGTGGGTGTAGACAAAAGGGGGAATCTTCCAGCTTATTCTCTCTCTAGCAAGTGTTGTTGAGAAAATCGCTCCATGTCTCAGAGTATCTTCTGATCATTTTGTTTTCATCATTTTGTTCACGTTCATATGTAAATGAGTGTATAAATATTTTTTTTTTGCTGCATTTGTCGTTTCGCTGGTATGGGTTATAAGTCGTTTATACGTCTGGTTTTCTGTTGTTTTATAACTTTTGGCATACAATTACGTTTTCTTTGTACGACTTCGTTGTGTGAGGCTGAGGTAAACCCACTCCCATTTTCCCTGAGCTAAGCTGAAGCAGAGCTAGGTATGCCATCCCACTTCAGTCCGAACGCACCTTCTTAAGTTTCCCTTGTCTAGCAGCGTTTCTTGTTTATATTTGGGAGAAGTTCGTTACAGAAAATAAATGGCGCCCAACGTGGGGCCCGACAAGTAACTGCTTGTTTTTCACTTGTTGAAGCTCCAACACAATTTTCTTAGAGTTAATGATTAAGGTTCGGTTTAAGAAGCAGGATTTGGAGTTTTCGGATAATTTCGGAATCTCACCGCCAATTTTTTCGATCCATATAAATTTTTAACGATCACACATTTTCTTGGCTTTGATTATTTTTGTTGAGTTGCTAGAATGGAATGGATTTGTAGCCGATTGAGGTATCTTGATGGCTAACCACCGACATAACTCCTCTTTAAATTAATCAAAGTGTGCGATTTGATTGTACCTTTTGTTAGTCAGTTATTGGTTTTGTTGTGTAATTTTGAACGAAGTGGAACTATTGCTTATGGATTAGATCAAGAGCATACCCTTCAAGTAAAAGTCAAACTATTATTATTTTAACAATAATTCTTTAGGACGTTATTTCTCTGAAGGTAATTTTGGGAAATACCAAAGAAAACAGAAAAGTAATAGTAGTAGTATCCCAGCGTTTACGTAAGGAGCGTCCCAACAACAATTGTAATTTTTTTTTTCAGCAAATTATATGCCCTACAGAGTAGTCGACCGTTAAATACAAGTTGTTTTGCTTTGGTATACATTTTTTTTGTGAAAATTTAAACATAATAGATTTGACATTTTAGCCCTTATACGGTTAATATATTACTATTATGATGTGAGTAAATTTTTTTTTTGTAAAACTTATTATAATCTTTAGGTATTATATAAAGACTTAGAACTTTGTAAATATATATATATACATTTTTTTTGTGTGAGATATTCAGAGTACTGGAAAGAATTGCGATTCGGTACGTGAAACACGTTTTAGTTATTTTCTAAATAATGCCAGTGTCTCATAGTCCAGATAATGCCTCCGGTGGCAATCAAGTAGATAGTATGAATAATACAATTTGTGTGATCTGTAGCGAAGCCCTGCAAGCCAACGGCGAGAAATTTGAAACCGTGTGTAAACACCAGTTCCATCTAAACTGCATTCGTACTTGGTTGGAGAATAATGCT